ATGCGCTTATATTCAGTGCCTATGAATTGAATCCTTTAGACAAAACTGACTCTCGTTTTTAGGTTAGAGTTTCCGATTGATCTCAAAATATATCCCTTTGAATAATTCGGTTGTCATATAAGTGTCGGACTGTTTTATTGAGTTATGGATGGCTGTTATGAGTCGCTCATTGAATAAATAAATAATCCACTGATTAATTCTCAATAATTTATACCTTGACAGTCATTGCATTAAAATATATTATTTTTGTCAAAAAAATCTGTTAATACGAGTTCAGTAAAGGAGATGTTTCTCAAAAACACTTTGGGTTAGGTTTAGGGGTTTCCGTGAAATGGACTAAAAATAGTTGAAACAACAAATTATCTCACTTTTTGTGTCCCATTTCTCAATCAATAAGTGCGACAAAAAGACCAGGGGTTTAGTCCTCCCTCTCCTCTTCCATATGACTTTCACGCAAATGTGTTTCAGCTGTTATGCAGTATTGCGTGGAAATAAGAAACCGTGAAATATAACCAATACATCTCATCAATAGATTTCTTTATGGTTCCCGAAAATAATCAAAATATTATAAATATATGCATAAATCTCGGCAGAAAACAAGTGATTCATAAACACATGTATAAAGTGTGTAAAGATTTATAGTTAATTTTAAACAAACAAAACAAACAATTAATCCGTATTGTTATTACTAATGAAATTTTCTAGAATTACACAATTGTTGATAAAATACAGTCTGATATTCAGCTCTTCTGTAAATTACTTTATAAATTAGCTTTTAATCATTGAATCTTTTAATTCAACTGAAAAAATCTCTAAAAATAAGTCCTGAAGTTTGTGCTAAATGTTTGTTAAAAGTAACGATAATTTATAGCCCTGTAGTTATTGTTAAGCATTTTTTTCAAAAAACAATACATGTATTTCAGAGGTGTGGACCTTTTGGCACGCGTTGTTCTTCAGCTCTACTATATTTACCACAATCGGTGAGTATTATCTCGTTTTGTAGATCTATTTGACATCTAATAATTTGCTTGTAGTTCAATCATTTTAAATGTTTGAGTTATTTATGAATAAAATTTTTTAAAAACCAAATTTAAAACAGTACAACACATTGCAAGTAATATTGCAATTATTTTATTATCTAAATATTTTATTAATCTATAATTTGATAATAAAAATTGAGTTTCAAGATTAGTGTCCGATTGTGTGCTAATTTTGATGTGTAGCCAAAATGTAATAATTGCTTGCATTTTATTTTTACATTTCATATAATACTAAGTTTAGATTAAATTAATCACGTTTTCTTATGAATAGGATTTGATCCAAAACTTTCAAATTATTCCGTAATAATAAACACAAAGACATATCACTTTCTAAAAGTGTTGTAATAAATCATTTATTATACACAAGATTTATTTTCAATTATATTTCTAGAATTGTTATTATATAATAGATCATAAAATTATTGTAATTTAAATTCTACACTTTAAATTAAAATTAGTATTACTTTAAATAACACTGTAATTGCATTTTTATGAGAAATCTAAAAATTATTTTATGTAAAATTTAATTCAGATGTAATTTAAAAATCATATATAAAGATAGTCTTAATATTTACACGTTGTGTAGAGAAGTGTCGCTTATTTATAAAGTATGCAAATTCTCGTTACTCTGGTTGTCTGTGAAGAACTAAATGTTTTGCATAACTTGAAAATAATGTCAAACTTAAAGTTAAAGTAATGATATATTATAAGGAAGCCATTAAAATGTAATGTAATTTTTCATCTCACTATTCAGTTAATTAGTAAATTAGTAACCGAGAGTGTATTTGAACAATTAGCATGGTATAATATTATATACCCAACACATATTTATACCATTCTGTTATATTATATTCAGATACTACTGTCACTGTATGTTAAGTTTATTACTTTACAATAATATCTGCGATATAATTAATTACATATTTATTATGTGAATAGAATAATACATGTATTTTTTATTATCAATTTAATGAAATATTCTTTTCTCAAGATCTGAACGATCCTATAAACCACATATTCATATTTGAATTGTGTTTAAAATCTAACTCAATATATTATATTTAATAATAAAATTACTTTATAATAAACGTTATTATGACTTTAATTTATATAAAACTACTATAGTAACTTTGCAAATAGTATTTGTTATTTTATATACAGTACTGTCTTGTGGTTTAAATGATTTAAATTGATACTAATTTAATTTATACACCAATTCTGTACAACCAATGGTTTTATTTCATTAATGATTAATTATATAATGTTTGAAAATACAAAACAAAGAATTGTTTAATTATTGTAATTAATAAATTGATAATTTGTATCGAAGGCTACGGACATGTGGTGCCAAAAACAGATGCCGGAAGAGTGGCCACAATTATCTATGCATTCATTGGTATTCCTCTACTTCTGATGGTTTTGACTGATTTGGGAAAACTATTCACACGAGGAATCAAATTTGTGTTCAAATATTGTCGTGTGATTTACTATACGAAACACATCAGGAAAGTGAGATCTGTTGGCAGAAAAGCCACTCAGAAATTGCCGACTCAGGTATTGAATACACTCTTTTGTATTT